ACACGTCATTGCTCCCTGTGTACGCGTCATTGTTGCCTGCCGCTGTTTTGCCACTCGGCGTAATACGCATAACGCATCGCGACGTGCGGAGAAAAGAGCGCGCCCTCTCGTGCCTGCCCGCGTAACAATGGCAGTTGTCGCAGCGATCGAACAGAGAGGGGGAGAGCGAGAGCGAGAGAGAGAGAGAGAGAGAGAGAGAGAGAGAGAGAGAGAGAGAGAGAGAGAGAGAGAGAGAGAGAGAGTCTACTCCCATTTCGTCTACTCCCATTTCGTCTACTCCCATTTCGCCTACTTCCCATTTTGTCTACTCCCATTTAGCCTACTTCCCATTTCGTCTACTCCCGTTTACTGTAGTCTAATCTCAGAATGGTTAATAGTGCCATTTCTTACATTTATAAATAATTATTTAGTAGACAAATTAATAGTAGACTAAATGGGAATAGGATAGATTTTTAGTGTAGACTAATTGGGAGTAGATGAAATGGGAGTAGATCAACTGCGGGTTTTGCTATAGACGAATTAGGAACTTCGCAGTAGACGAAATGCGAGTAGGCTTACCGAGCATAAACCGTGAATTGTGTGTGGGGGAAGGGGTTTTTCTCGTTTCTTTTTGCATTACCTCTCTCTCGCGCGCGCTCTCTCTCTCTCTCGCTCTCGCTTTCACTCTCTCTCTCTCTCTTTCTCTTTGCTTTTATTTTTCGCTCTCCACTTTTTCTTTCCTGCTCACTTACATTGATGTCTCGTTCTTAACTTGACTAACTCCAAGCTCCATCTGTATTGCTATATTAGCGTAGCATTCTTCTTCCTCTTTCTCTCTATCACCCATATCTCTGTCCATCTGTCCCCTTTCCTCTGTCTCTTTCTCCCCTTATTTCTGTTTCTAGAACATACCTCGTGCTCGTGAATGTCAGCCGCGCTCGTGTCGCGGTGTTAATTGTTCACACGTTGAGGTGTTATCTCCATTTACGCCTCCCAGCCTCCCACCGAGCTCTCTCCCCCGCCGCGCCGTAATGCCTCCCCCTGGGGGGAGGGGCAGCGCGCGCCGCGGGGCGGAGGGGTGACGGTGTCACGTACCCACTAAGAGGTCCGGGTGTCGCGCGTGGGTGATATGGGTGACGGGTGACAGTCGTGCCTCAGGTGTGGTCGCCTGGACGCGCACGTGTACACAATAGCTAATGTAGCCACGGTTTTATATAGATGATAGCATCGCACGAACTCGATACACGTCCGCGCACACATTATATATATATACACACACACACACACACACACACACACACACACACACACACACACACACACACACACACACACACACACACACACACACACACACTAGGAGGAGAGGTGAAGAGGAGGAGGGTGAGCAAAAGAAGGAGGAGGAGGAGGAGGAGGGGGAGCAGTTGCTGATGATAATTATGGTGAAAATAAGAAGGGAAAGCGGGGAGAAAAAAGACGAATACTATAAGGAATTAGTGCAAGCGGAGGAAGTGGTAAAAACGAGAGGCGATTATGGAAGGCTAGGGGGCGGATGAAGAGGAGAGGTGTGCAGAATGATAAATGCGAAGGAGATGATACGGTAGCAAAACACTAAAGATATGACCGTATATAAACTATAAACCGGGGAATGTGGGAGGGGTGTGAGGTGGTAGAAAAAGGGGTACAGCCGGCGGCACAAGCCCTCCCCCTCCCCCGCCCCGCGCTGCGCCGCGTACGCCAATAACAAAGGAGAAGACAATGCGAGCATATGCCGCAGCAAGGCAGCGGCGCCTCGTACACACAGAGCGCGACGGACGAGCCCCCAGGGGGTATAATAAATTAGTTGTGATGTCTTTACAAAGTTACATCTGTCTGCCCGCTGACGACATGCGAACAGTCGTTAATAATAACGTATATAGGCGTGCGGACAGCGAGACGTAACCGCGCGCGTAACAGCGGCCGCAGTGGGATATAGCACATGGTGCGGCCACAGATCTAACATGCTATCGTATGGCTGCATGCTGTGCAGACACAGTGAATAGCTATATTATGACTGCGGTGTTTATAGCTGTGGCAGTACATGGCGTACGTGGCTGCGGTATACTGTGTTACAGTGTGTCATTATGTGTCTGAGGCATGGCATGATGTAGTATATATCGTAGTGTAGCAGAGGTGTCGGATATATGGCTTGGGTAGATGCATGTAAGAATGTCGTGTTCGTATCACAGTCTATGATTAGTGTACGGACTACACGTCTACATAGCTCTGTCGACTACACATGTACAGACTGCACCTATATAAGTATAAACACCTACATCGCTACGGGCATATTAATCACACCTCAATGAACATATGCAGCTCCCTCTGCCGCAACAATTAGGTAGCAATATATTGCATGCGTGAATCGCTTGCAGCGATTGGAAGTTATTTTATGCGACACACGATTGATGGCTGCTCTCCCACGCACGCCAACGTTAACCCGTGACCACTCCATACACGTACGCGCAGGTTTTTACCAGGGCTGCAATAGCGCGAGGCATGATTGATTGCGCGCAAAATTCACGTTTTTATCCTCAAAAAATGTCGCGTTCGCCACTTATGTAAATTAGTGGAACAATAGTTTTGCCAAAAGATCGCGGCCTGCCACACATTCCTGTCGTACGTGCGTGTGTTCGTGCGCGCGCGCGTGTGTGTGCGTATGTGTATGTGCGTGTGTGTGCGCGCGCGTGTGTGCAGGGGCGTGTACATCCAGGGGGAACGCTCGCGCAGAAAACGCATCTAAGGGGGTCTAATTTCAAAAATGTTGACCCCCAGACCCCCCCTCCGCGTGCTCGCAAGTTTGGGTTACGGTTAGACCCTCTCCTGGTACAAATCCTGTAAACGCCCCTGGTGTGTGTGTGTGCCTGCTCACGTGTGTATGTGTGTGTGTGTGT